AGAGGCTGCAGGTGTGGGGGAGAGATGGAAAGCTGAACAGTGAGGGGGAAATAAAGGTACATTGATGCTTGGCTGGGAAGGAGATAGGGTTGCCAACTCCAGGTAGAGGCTGCAGGGGGGGATGGAAAGCTGAACAGTGAGGGGAAATGATGGTAGATTGGTGCTTGGCTGGGAAGGAGATAGGGTTGCCAACTGCAGGTGGAAAATTCCTGGAGATTTGAGGGATGGAACCTGGAAAGGGTGAGGTTTGAGGAGGGATGGGACTTCAGACAGGTACAGTGCCATAGACTGTGCCCTCCAAACCAGCCATTCCCTCATGGGGAACCACTGTTGCCAAAATCCAGCTGAGGGTTGGAGATCACTCAGAATTCCAACTGGTCTCCAGATGGCATCGATCAGTTCCCCTGGAGAAAATGGTGGACTCTGTGTCCATATACCTTGCTGAGTTGCCCCCCCCCCCATGACAGCCAAAGTTATGTGGCAGTCAGGGCTTCAGAGCATGGTGAGGGCTGCTGGTGAGGGGGAGATGGAAAGCTGATCAATGAGGGGGAAATGAAGGTAGGTTGATGCTTGGCTGGGAAGTAGATAGGGTTGCCAACTCCAGCTGGGAAAATCCTGGATATTTGAGAGATGGAGCCTCTAGAGGGTGAAGTTTGAGGAGGAGTGGGGCCTCAGACAGGTACAATGCCATAGACTCTGCCCTCCAAACCACCCATTCTGTAATGGGGAACCACTGTTGCCAATCTCCAGGTGGGGTCTGGAGATCACTCAGAATCACAACTGCTCTCCAGATGGCATTGATCCGTTCCCCTGGAGAAAATGGTGGACTCTGTGCCCTTATACCCTGCTGAGGTTGCCATGGCAAATTGATTCTGAGTGCTCACAGCTTTGGCACTCTCCCAGAGCCTCTTTCTAGCGCTCATTGTATTTATTTCCACAATGGGCCTTATTCCTAGTTCCTCCATATTTCTTTTTTAAAAACTCCTTGCACACAGAAAACTAGCTTGTCAGGGTGAATACTAGCAGTACCATCTTAGGCAGAGCTATAACCTTCTAAGTCGATTGAAATCAGTGGGCATAGAAGGCTGTAACTCTGATTAGGATGGCATTGTAAGTAATAACTCTATGCAAGTTCTGTTGAAATCAGCATTTTGAATTCAGTGCAAAAATCTCCTGTTTCAGTCCTTTGTGATTAAATATAATACAGGTTTGCTGAATAGCATTTGATTTGACTTGTTGCTTACGGACTCTTGTTCTCGGCTATAAAGCACTCCGATTCAAAGAATGTTAACTAAATTACAGTGCTTTATGGAAATGCTGCCTAAAATGTAGAGGAATTAACAGAAACAGTATTAAAGGAAGTAAAAGGAAATTTTAGGTTTGGGGGGGATTAGCTTGACACAGAATACAAAAGCCCTACTATTATTTTCTAGCATGTTATCTTTTGTTATCCACTAAAGAAAATTAGGAGACTGGCTTGAACAAGATGCTTCAAAATGAGCACTTACCTGCAGAAACAATCACATAAACTATGGTCCCTGTAAGCATGGGAACAAATAATGGTGTACCTGAACAAATACCTCTGTTTAAAAAATGTATTATGCCATGTAAAGTTTTGATGATGTATAAGTTGTGTCTAAAACATTTGGTTCCATTATTCACTTGCAGCATCAGTTGCATCAACTTGTAATGATCCTGGGACCCCACAGAATGGAAGCAGATATGGAGACAGTCGAGAGCCTGGGGATACAATCACCTTCCAGTGTGACCCAGGGTATCAGCTGCAAGGGCAGGCGAAAATTACTTGTGTACAGCTGAATAATCGATTCTTTTGGCAGCCTGATGCTCCTACATGTTTAGGTATTGAAACATTGGGCACATTTGCAGTTTTAAACACCTTTCAATTCCTACAGTTTTACTAAGTTCTCATTTTGTGTTGTGTACATGATTGCCATGCATACACTGGTCTTTCCTTTATCAAATGTTGAAGTGTGTTTATTATTTAGCTATTTTTTGCCCTACTTTTGCCCCCAATGGGGACCCAACACAGTTTATATCATTCCCCTCCTCCCTTTATCCTCAAAAACAATCCTGTGGGGAAAGTTAGGAATAAGGAGTAAAATATTCATGCCATTAAACATTTGTGTACACATGCTTGGGAATCTGGACTGAGTTGGAGCTACCCAGCATGCATATGTAAGACAGGATACCTTCACTTTTAAACCTTCACAAAGTTTTTAATTTAGGTTGCCCACATGAAGTTTTTGGTACCCTTGTTGACCCGAGTTTGGGAATAACACACCCATACTGATCAAGAAAAGAAACTATTGCTTTGTTAACATTAACTTTATAATTATACAACAATAGATTTTACATAGGGTTTTATCCTTCAACACACTGGGCTAATGGTGCAAGGCCAGCCCAAGAGGATCCTCTGTCAGCATTCTTTTGGCAGAAGTCACCATCCATCGCTCATTGGGGTAGTAGGATACAATCCATAATTAATTTTTACATATATAAAACCCAACAGCCATTTTCGTTACAGTTTTGGCATTCCAACCTCATGTAATAGGAAAGTGTGTTACTCGTGAACCTTCCAATATTCACAGTTAACATACTGTGTGAACCGGACAATACACTTTACCCCAGCTTTGATACTCATGAATCTGTATCCAAAACTGGAAAATATGTCCATCCCTAGTTACATACACTATCAACTCTGTTTACCATAGCAATGTAAATCACCTTGGAGAAGATTTCAACTTCTTTTATTTTGCTTTTTCTGTATTTTTTTTTTAAACAAGTACTAAATCCACTGAATAAAAACGTTACGATGAAATGGCCTGGGTACATTTTAATAAGAAGAAATAACCCTGAAAGCTTTTCAGGTTAAAATCTTCATTATCAAACAAACAAGTGTATTTGAGGCCTCAGAGGTTTAACAGATACATTAAAAATACAGTTTTTAAAATGTGCACAAAGTTGTATTTTTGTATGCTGAGGATACCTGGGATTTAATAGTTCTTCTTAGTGTCCTGACTGTTGTCAACAGTCATTGGTGTCCATTTTTTGTGGCATTAACACTTTATATGTTCCCTGAAAACAGTTGTGTGTCCTACCTCAGCTGAGTCATCAGAAGGTGTATACATTTTTGAGTCTTCAATATGAAGGAGCTCAGTCTATTTTTAAACAAAATGACTGGGCTCCATTGATTACTATTGTTTCTTCAATGTGAATTAAAGGTGCTTGGTATCCTTTAACAAGACATCTAATTTTAAGTGCATGATTGTGGATTTAGTTGCTTGCCAGCAGGCAAACAATTGTGCTTTTTCATTTTAGTGGCTGGGTTTTTGTTTTGTTTTTTTGATTGGGGAACATGTTTCTCAAGCAAACAAAAATATTTTATATGTTTTTGGCTATAAAAGAGACAGAAGAATCTTAAATTTTAAATATTTTCCTGCCAAATTTTTAGTTCAGCTTTTCTCTTCTCCCCCCTTGTCATATTCTTAAATTTTAAATATTTTCCTGCCAAATTCTCAATTACAGCAAGATGTTAATGATTTCTCAATTACTGCTTATCCTTTTAAAGTATAAATAATCAAAATAAATGATTAAGATCTTCCTGCTTGGGGTTCTGTGGTCATCGGAGGTTTGTTCAGTGCCTGGCCAAAGTCTTCATTATTAAATTCATTCCTTGTGAAACTTGCTAGGCTATGTCAAAGTTTCAAGTCTAAGCAATTAGTGAGTGCCCAAAACATGTCATATTTTGACATTTTTAGTTCAGCTTTTCTCTCCTCCCCCCTTGTCATATCTAGCCTGATTTTAACCAACAGAAAATTTCTCCTTTGCTATTCTCATTTTGCTTGTTATATTTGACCTACTTGATGGATGGTCACTCTTCCTTCCATCTTGGGGGACTGGCAAACAGAATTTCAGTTGCCTGGGTTGCAATTGCTTTTCCAATGGATATAATGATACATGTTTTTGCTGTTGTTTAATTATGTTTTGCTTACTTCGGGGGGAGGGGCTGCAACCCTGCATGAAATGAGTCTCGGTCTTCCTGTGCAGCAGCATGAAGTGGGAATGAAGCAAGGAGATACAATGTAGTGTACCACTTCACACTACCAATGAGCAATGATATTTTCAATGCAACCCGACATCAGAAAGCTCCCTGTCAGTAGAAAATTAGCACAATAAATAGGCCTGGAGTTCTCCTGAAATTACAACTTATCTCCACTGCAGAGATCAATTGCCTGGCAGCTTTGGATGTTGGATTCCATGGCATTACTTCCTTCCCCAACCTCTGCCCCCTTAGGTACCACCCTCAAATCTCCAGGAATTTTCCAGGCTCAAGGGGGCAACCCTTTTCCTCCCAGACCAGGTAGTTTAGGTGAAATTTTTTTGAATAATATTTCTTAACGTCTGAAGAGATAAAATCCATTTAATTCTGCTGTATGGGGTGACCAGACCAAAGACAAAGTCCCATATTCTACAATGTGATTTATGCAACCAGGCTTGCAGGCTTTATTTCACTTGTTTTATTTGTTCACCTCTTCATGCACTGAACTCTCAGTGCATTTTACAACTAAATAAGTAAACATAGAAACCCACACATTTGGTTAACATGCTATGTTTATTTATTTTGAAGATATGCATAGAACTTGTGTATGTATGTTCGGAGGGGGCATTGCTAGCACTGGGGAGTAAAAATGTTAGTAGGGGCATTCCTAGTGCTGGAGAGTTCTTATTGTTCCTGGGACTATTTTTTTTAAAGCTGATAAGAAGGGTACCAAAAAAATCAGGTGCTAAAGAATATATATCTCAAATTACTTTTACAGTAGCTCAGTGTGGCATGTGATCAATTTTACTTTCCTCTTCCCTCTTTTGTGTTTTGTGACAGCTGCCTGTGGTGGAAACCTTACAGGCCCTGCAGGTGTTATTTTATCACCAAACTACCCCCAGCCGTATCCTCCTGGGAAGGAATGTGACTGGAGAATAAAAGTAAACCCTGATTTTGTCATTGCCTTGATATTCAAAAGGTACCATTTCTCAAGCCATGCTTTTCTTTAGCAGTAGCAGTTTTTTTTAATGTCACATTTGAAAATTACATCATTTATCACTTCATAGCATTCCTAATTACATTTTTTTCCAGCTATGACCTGCAGTCTATATCAGGACACTCTGTATCGCTGATATATGATGACATAAAAGCACATAAGAATATAAGAAACGTCTTGCTGGATCATCCATCCAAGAGTGGACAGATGCCCATATGCAGGCCATGAAACTTAAAGGCTGTCCCTGTTGTTTACACCCATCATCTGACTTTAAATGTAGAAGCCACCTTTCACTTACTAGCTAAATAGCTTTTTTAAAAAAAAGATCTTCATTCCATTTTCTAACAATACTTAATGTGAAACTTACCTTTTCCCTGCCACTGCACACTAAGTTCACATCCCCCCCCCCCCCCCCGTATTTTTTTTTTTCTTCCCAAGATCTCTTTGTAGGTTAGTTAATTGAAGTTTGGAACTCATGGAGCATATGGATTTTTTTTTTAAAAAAAATTGCTTTAATTTCTTTGCTTTAATAAATTAGCAACTTGACTTTCAGAGTTTGATATCATCTGTTAGATAAATTTTTTTAAGGTATACTTAAGAGCATTGTTTTCCAAAGTATGTTGTCGAAGGCTTTCACGGTCAGAATTCCAGATGCATATCAGTGCTCTGGTGTTGAAGTTGCCCAACTTTTTAAAGTATGTCTAAAAAACATCAAGGACCTTACAGTTAGATATGAATCCAGTAGCGCCTTAGAGACCAACAAGAGTTTCAGAGTATAAGCTTTTGGGGGTCAAAGGCTGTGATCGCACAAGCTTCCAATCCCCTTTCAGTGCACTTTCCAACTGGATTTTACTGTGTGAACTGTCAAAATCCATTTGGAAAGTGGACTGAAAGTGGATTATTTAGTGTGTGTGATTGCAGCCAAAGCTCCCTTTGTCAAACCTTACAGGTCTAGCTATATGATAGCTTAAGAAAGAAAAAAGGGATGAATATAAACACAACATTGTGTGACAACTGAAAATGAATTACAGAATGAAGTCATATTTTATAATACGCAGGTGTTTTAGATCCTGGAATAAAAGAATGCTTTCTGATACAGCATATTACAAATGTTAGAAGAAAAATACCATCAGAACACTGATGACATAAACTTATTTGTTCAAGAAAGACATATCTTATTTTCTTGGTTCTCTATTTTAGCTTCAATATGGAACCCAGCTACGATTTTTTACATATTTATGAAGGAGAAGATTCCAACAGCCCTCTAATTGGCAGTTTTCAAGGCTCCCAGGCTCCAGAAAGAATAGAGAGCAGTGGTAATAGCTTGTTTCTGGCATTTCGTAGTGATGCTTCTGTTGGCATGTCAGGATTTGCCATTGAATATAAAGGTAAATTTATAATATTTGCATTCAAATATAAAAACACAATGTCTTTTATCTATTCATTGTTGAAATAAAGTTTAGGACTTTGGAGTACTATTCCAGGTGTTCTGCATTGTTAGTTAACTTTCGTTCAAAGAATTCGCTTATTCCACGAAAAATCAGGGACTCTATCAAGCTGGTGCAAGTTTTATGGTTACATATCAAGTGCTAGTAAACAAAGCAAGAAATACTGCTTGATACTACTAGTATATCTAACAAAGATTTAAAAATAGAGTTGGGACATTTATTTTAGAATAAAATGTTATAAAACATATGCATATTTTAATTATATAGAATTGGATTCAAAGGTGGTCTTTCATTTAAGTAAGAGTTGGATTCGACTGGCTTTCGAGCAAGGGAAACCTTTATGGCCAATAACATAAGGTTCCCTTCTGTTAGTAGAAAGATATCTTTGGATCCAAGCCCTCAGTCTGGTTCTAACCTATTTAATTAAAAAGAAAACAAAAAAACCCCTCCATCTGCAGTAGCAAAATTACCGATATTGTAAAAATAAACAGTAGCATTGGAGGATGTGAAATATTTGTAGTCCGATCCCAAACATCTTTGGAAGTACTGTCCATTAAGTTGAGCAAGCTTGCATAGGACTCCAGCCTTGAAGCCTTATGTTACCAACATTTATTCAAAGAAGTAAGTTCTATTGAGTTCAGTGGAATCCATTCCCAGTTACATGTACACATGATTGCTGCTCTAGTCTGTGTATCTCAATACAAGGATTTAGCTGTCATATATAAAAAGCAAGTCATGCTGGTGATGACTCACCTACTCTCCCAAGGGCCACTGGGGAAGCTGCCTTGGCATCCTCCATTCTTACACCCCCATTTATGACACATTGCACCTTGGGAGTTGTAGTTCTCAGCTGGCCTTACTGCAACCATAGCAAAGGAAATTAGAACAACAACTCCCAAATTCGGAGTCCCAAGAGGCCGTGGGGCATTAACAGAGAGTCAGTTGAAGTGTTAGAGCCAGTTTGGTGTAGTGGTTAGGAGTGTGGACTAATCTGGGAGAACTGGGTCTGATTCCCCACTCCTCCACATGCAGCTGATGGTGTGACCTTGGGTCAGTTATAAGTTCTTTCAGAGCTGTTATCTCAGGAGCAATTCTCAGAAGAGCTCTCTCAGCCCCACCTACTTCACAGGGTGTCTGTTGTGGGGGGGAGAAGGGAAAGGAGATTGTAAGCCACTCTGACACTCCTTTGGTTAGTGAAATCCAATCTCCTCCTCCTCTTCCTTCTCCTCTTTCGTCTTCTTCTTCTTCTGTTTAATAGAAAGGAAAGGCCTGGACATCTCCTTGAATTACAGTTGATCTCCAGACGGAGGGTAAGCTCTATGGCAGTATACCTCACTGAAGTCCTTCAACAAACCTGGCCCTCCCCTAAGCATTGCCAACCTCCAGGATCAGTTCTCCTGGAGAAAATGGCTGCTTTGGGCAGTGGACTCTTTGGCATTATTCCCTGCTGAGGTCCCTCCCTGCCTCCAAACCCTGCCCTCCCCAGGCTCTACCCCGCAAATCTACAGATATTTCCCAACCCAGAGTTGGCAACCCTGTAACTGGCTACAGAACTCCTTTCCAGACCCTTGAAACCCACAGTACATGGCATATGAGGAGGTGCTTTTCTATCTTAGTTGGCAGAAACTAAGACTGCAGCCATGAAATTAAAAGATGCCTGCTCCTTGGGAGGAAAGCGATGGCAAACCTAGCCAGCATAATAAAAAGTAGAGACATCACCCGGCCAACAAAAGTCCATATGGTCAAAGCAATGGTAGTAGTGTATGGCTGAAAAGTTGGACCATAAGGAAGGATGAGTGCCGAAGAATAGATTTTTTTGAATTATGGTGATGGAGAAGACTCTTGAGAGTCCCTTGGACTGCAAGGAGATCAAATCAGTCAATCCTAAAAGAAATCGACCCTGACTGTTCCCTGGAAGGCCAAATTTTGAAGATGAAGCTCAAATACTTTGGCCACCAAATGAGAAGGGAACATCCACTGGAGAAGACCCTGATGCTGGGAAAGATTGAAGGTCAAAGAAGAAGGAGACAGCAAAGGATGAGATGGTTATGCAACGAACATGAAATTAAGCAAACTCCGGAGCACAATGGAAGACAGGAGGGCATGGCATGATGTGGTCCATGAGGTTGCAAAGAGTCGGACTTGACTGTGCGACTGAACAACAACTGGCAGTGCATAGCCTCAAATCAACATATGTCAGGGGTGGAGGGAACCATACTTGTTTCCATGTGGCTCTCCTCTCATATTACCCACTTGGGGCAGCAAAATGCCTTATGGCTAAGCAGGAGGAAATAAACATGGCTTGCCTCCCTCTGTTTTCCCCTTCCCTCCATGAGTCCCAGCCAGGACACTCACCTGGAACCTCTTTCTAGAGCTTGTTGAATTTCTTCCCACAATGGGCCTTACTCCTAGTATATCCATATTTCATGTGTTTGTGGTCTGGATCCAGCAATATGCAAGTGGAATTATGAATCGACTTAGCACAGTTCCACTTGCACAAGATCTAGTGTAACACCTAGGACTTCCCTCCCTATATATTATAGTGCCCAGAAATTGGTTGCATAAGATCTTGCATACCTGTGTACCTAGGACAGATCTGTGTACCTAGGACAGACTACTAAACTCAAAAATGGATTTTGCACAAGATCTAGTGTAACACCTAGGACTTCCGTCCCTATATATTATAGTGCCCAGAAATTGGTTGCATAAGATCTTGCATAAGCAGAAACATAAGTGAGGATGCAATACATCTGACATTGCTCAAGCGGCTACCACAGCTTCAGAGCAGAGTAGAGGCTGCAGGTGGAGGGGAGATGGAAAGTCAGAGGGGCAGATAAAGGGAGGTTGATGGCTGGCTGGAAAGGGTTGCCAACTCCAGGTTGGGAAATTCCTGGAGATTTGAGGGATGGAGCCTGAGTTAAATTAACTAAACCAAGGTGCATCACCTTTTCACTGTTAGCTAAAATTTGGGGTGGTGGTGGAAAGTCCACATATGCCCCCCCGTGGCTGTTTTTAAGAAGATTTGAGAAATTTGGATTGTTATCACAGTCTTTCATGCTTCATCTAGATCAGTCGTAAGTTTTTCTGTTTCAGTCTTTTTTGTGTTACCAGTTAGGTTTCTCCATACCTAGTAGTTGCAATATCAGAGAACAGACTAGCAAGCAAATAAGAAACACTGCTTATGTAGAATCAAGTGATCCAGCCATGTGAATGGTATGAAGTTCTCCAATGTCAAGTTCTATATAACTTTCCTAATTAGGAAACATTCCTGCCAGTTGCCTTATCAACTGATTCATTAGTCCCTCTTTCTCCCTCTGACTTCTGTGTACCTAGGACAGACTACTAAACTCAAAAATGGATTTTAAACTGTTACTGTTACTAAATTTTCAATTTGTAGTAAGTATAATGCATCTGATTTTGACCCAGAGCAATCTGGCCTGGTGTTGGGACAGAGACAACATTATTTATTTAATTTCATTTATACCCCGCCCTCCCCGCATGCGGGCTCAGGGCGGCTTACACGGCACAACAGTGCAATAAAATATAACACATTAAAACAATTTAGGCACGCAAAGTGCGATAAGTTGCTCTGGTGGACAAACTCCACTTAGAGACAGACATAGGTGACCTAGGTTCTTTGATACATTGGATTACTCCATCCTGTTAAATCATTTGAGAGGTGATGCAGGAATGAGGGAAATGGTACTCCAATAGTGAGGCAAGGAAAATTGTGCCAATGTGAGCAGGATTTTCAAAAATATGTGCCTTCCTGTCCATACAGTATGTAAACATATTTTGTAATATTTGTAAAAAGATTGTATCAAGTCAGGTTTGGAAAAGATCAAAGCAAAGCAGAGGAAAACCCGGAAAGTGGGTGAATGGTCAGCAATATCATATGGATGTTCTGGAAAAAAGAAACAGTCAGTTTGGATACCAAACCAGAGCAAAACCTCCATGTGGAAGCAGCCTAAGATCTATTATTGTTGTCATATTATGCCAGTCTTAGAACATTTATGTTAGTTGTTGATATATTTTGGGGCTGATTTTAACCTTTGAAGGTGCCTGAAGCTTACATATCCACCTCTCCTGTTAAGAACCTATATGGCAGCCCCATTCATGAAACCAGTCACTCTTTTTTGTCCCCTCTAAAAGGACGTTTAGAATGATGAGGACTTTTGTGTTCCAAGAATTTTGTGGGGTGGAATACTTTGGAACGAGTTGCTAGTAGAAGTAAGAACTGTTTCTACCCTCTCCAGCTTGTGTAGGCTGTGTAAGGCTGCTTTACTTGCAAAAACCTTCTGTTCAGGTTTACTGCTGTTGATCTGAATGGCCATCTCTGAAAGAAAGACATTTATTGTTGTCTTTAACTTTTTTAATGTGGATAGATGGTAATTTAATTTATGTATTGTTTTATAATTCATTTTAGTGTTGTAAACCACCTTGAGGCCCCCTTAGTGAGCAAAGACAGTTTAGAGATAATATAATAAATAATTAAATGCATAGATATAATTATATTACTCAACAGGGGGATGAAGTTCAGGTTTGATTAGTTAATATCTGAATGCACATTTCTGATCATATTTTAAGCCCAAAGACTATATATTTATAGATGTGTTGAGATCAAAGTGTTTTTCTACAAAAATCATATTTCCTTCTTAATTTTTTTTGTATTTTTTTATTAATCCAATTTCAAATACCTGAGGTTCAATAAAATGCATTTTATGTTTGTTTGTTTGTTGGATGGTTGCATGCCTGTGCTCTGTTTCTGCCATATAAAAATAGGAACTGCTGTTTAGGGAAGATCTTCTCAAATGGAAATGTTGCATACAATCTAAATATGAAGAAATGGTGTACATCTGCTTAATATATTCCAATAAAGCACACATTTGGGTGCAGATTATTTCAGGATTGATTTGCATACATGTTCATTTATTTCTCAACAGCTATATCAAATGGAAATCTTGCTATTTTATCTGGCAGCTGTTCCTAGCCAATCAGAAGATATGCATTTGCATAAACCTTTCAGATTATTTTTCCGTAAGGATGCCATGAACATGCAGATTCCTCTGCATTTCTTTGCTTAAATGTCTTTGCTTAAATTAGCTGTTTTTCTTTGCTTAAATTTGCATTCGTGCTTAGAATTGTTTTTGACAGAGCAGATACTGCTGTAGCTTCTTTGTAGAAATCCTCTCCTAGTGTATCTGAAATACGTAAAATCACCCAAAGCATGTTTCAAAGAGAATTGGGTTATTAATAAAGTTCTGAAGAAAGAAATGCTAAAACAATATCACATTTTAAAAAGGTAATCAAGAATTTCTTATTATTTGAAAAAGTGACTAAAGTGCACTGTTCCTGCAAAATGTTGAATTATTAAATGCAGGGATCTGTTTAGTCTCTTAACATTGGAAAAATTAGCATTCTAAAAAAGAATATTTTAGATGGCCAAGACCATGGTGCTGTCAGATGAGCACTTGCCAATCAGAAGATTGGAATGACATTAATAAATGTGTTGAATGTTTCCCCGTAATTGTCTGTAAAATACCTCTATCTGTATAATCAAATTATTTTAAATGCTTCAGTTATAACCTTGAAAAAAGCATACCTTAATGATACAAATTATGTATCAAACATCAAAATGTATTATGCTTAATCCTCTAAGTATTATGTATTATTCAAGCCCCACTGTGTCTAATGGTTTGTTATTTTCTACCAATATGAAAACACATAATCCACCCAAAGCATAGAAGGCAGTGAAATTAAGCCTACATTTTTAGAATTAAATCTTTCCAAGTGCATGGATGTAGTGTTTCAGTGTCCTTCATAGCTCCTTTTCTTCATACTCTAATAGTAGTCAAAGCAAAATAAACAATGTATCCTAAGTTTAATTTGTATCATTTATATAGGTTAAAGTTTTTTGTGTGCAGAATTTCCTTTTGCTTCTGTGAAGATGGTCCTCAGTATGAATTGCTGAGAGTGCATTCATAGGGTAATAGTTAATACATGGTACCTATTGTCACACTTTTTTGGCTTAGGGTGCTGGATCCTTGTACCAATAGATACTTATACCAACAGAATGAGTTCATGTTTTAGATTGCTCAAGAGTGAAAAAGTGCAAGAGAGAGAAGATGTGATTCTTTTCAGGTACTAAAAATATACAGTGGATTCAAGCCAATGCTCAAGGGTTATAAAGCATTGCATTCCTCACAACAGAATTTTTGTGAATGGGAAGAAGCAGGGTACATAGGAGTTTTCTAAAAAAAAAATCCTCTTTCTCCATCCATATTTCCTGGCTACATGAGCCATCATGGACAGCCACTGCAGTCTCTTTGTTTAGGGGAAGCCACATCCATCGCCTAAGATCAAAGTGTCCCAGATCATGTGATAGCTTTGGGCCAAAGGGGGAAGCAGTTGAGCTTGCTGCTTCTGTCTCCACTGTGTAATCACCATTTATTTATATGTATTTAAAACATTTATTAGCTGCCTTTCTTCCTTGTGGAGAACAAGGTGGCTTACAAACATTAATAGAACACATAGAACAAAATATTTTAAAAACATAAAACCAAAATTTAAAATCACTACTCAGGACTGCTACTAAACTTAACCAAATGCTGTCCTAAATAAAGCCATCTTCAATTGCCTCCTGAAGACTAAAAGTGAGGGGGTAAGGCTCACCTCCCTGGGGAGGTTGTTACAAAATTGTGGTGCTGACACCGAAAAGGCCCTCAGGGTCACATGCACATTATAGCTGGAGACTAAAAGTGAGGGGGTAAGGCTCACCTTCCTGGGGATGTTGTTACAAAATTGTGGTGCTGACACTGAAAAGGCCCTCAGGGTCACATGCCCTCAGGGTCACATGCACTGACCACCAGTCTAGCTGCAGCATTCTGCACTAGCTGCAGCCTCCATATACTCTTAAAGGGTAACCCAAAGTAGAGTGCATTGCAGTAGTCCAGACTGGGTGTAACTAAGGCATGGATCACTGTGGCCAGATCTGACTGACCCAGGAACGGACACAATTGTTGCACCAGCAAAAGCTGGGCAAAAGCACAAAACTTTGTATTAAGCTTCCTTTCAGATGTGCTCCTAGCATTGACCTGTTATGTCTATCTGCCAAAAATTTGAGGCAGCGTGGAAATAGCATCCCAGTGCCTCCCTTGGACCTGTCGATTTGAGGACATGGGAGGTGTCATTTCAACTGTTAACGGGACTCTTTTTCCATCAGTAGGTATCCAGTCCTACCTAGCTGTCTTCCCTGTTTAGGGAACTTTGGTCATATATAGATATATCAGTACTAAAGTGAAGATTAGTGTTTGTAAAAACCTCCAATTGTTTCCTACATATTGTTGTACTAATACTTGTGGATTTGAATCTTAATATTTTATCTCTCCCTGTTTGTTTGGATTTTTTTAAATTAGAAAAACCACGAGAAGCTTGTTTTGATCCTGGCAATATAATGAATGGAACTAGAATTGGATCAGATTTTAAACTTGGATCAAGTATTACTTACCAGTGTGATTCTGGCTACAAGATTATTGATCCTTCCACAATCACTTGTGTGATTGGTGTTGATGGAAAACCTGCATGGAACAGAGTTTTACCATCTTGTAATGGTATGTATTGAATCTGAACACATCCCTTTCTTCAACTTTGGTACAGAACAGGCCATTTCCTTTTACTGCTCCCTTCTACAGAAACAAGGAAAGAAAATGTGGCTTATTATATACAATAATTCCATTGAAATTTCATTAACACCCCTCTGCAATAACAATTCTTCAGTCTTACATAGGGTTATTTTTGTGCCCATCCTGTTTTGCACTCTTTAAAAAATTGATGAAAATGTCCTCTTTTGGGGTTGGAAGATTAGGGATATTTCTAGTTAGTAGCAATGATCACAGCTTAAATAGTAGGGGTATTTAAAATGAGATTTGTCATAGTGATCACTTGTTTGAATGAGTCAGGAAATATGCCCTCTTTTTTGCTTTTCAAAACATGGTAATCCTAGTCTTACAAGAAAACAAAAACGTGCTCTAGCAGAATGTGGCAGTAGAGTTCAGAAGAAAGAATGATTTTAGTATACAGTAGTAAGTCCCTTTTCATTTTTTTTTCTTTTTTATTTTTCTTCTGTGCTTTTGTGATCATTTAGTTCCTGAATTTTCCTCTCCAGGTAGGAAAATCCTGAAGCCTAATCATTACCAAAAAATGCAATTATCTGAATGTCATGTGGCTTTTGTCAGTCAGTAGCAAACCACAGGATGTGACAACGGCATTTTATAATTTTTTAGAGGAGTCAGGAGGCTGAGATCTCTGTGTGTTTAATAAACATCTATCACCTGGAGGCGTTGTCTCTTGAGATCACGTTGTGTGGAAAGAACTGTGGACAAAACTTTCCTTGCATAGTTGATGTTTGCTGCAGCCCCCTTTTCCCCTTGAAAAGTTCCACCAGGAAGCTGGGAGAACCCTCAGGAATAGCATGTTTGAGTGAGAAGGGTAAATCAGCAGAATTTGTTCCCTCTCATGACATGAGTGGAAATGTTCTTCCATGCATGAAAGCTGCAGACTGAATCCAAACTGATATAATTTGTGAATAGATTGCTTCACCTTTGTGTAATTTGGATAAAACTGAACTACAGGGGGGTTTTGTGTTTATGAAGATCGTTCTCTTTTTTAAGCTTTGACCTTAAGTAAAAGTTCAGCAGTTCAAGACCCGGGTGCCGCATGATGGAGTGAGCTCCCATCTCTAGTTCCAGCTCCTGCCAACCTAGCAGTTCGAAAGCAAGAAATTGCAAGTAGATAAATAGGTACCACTTCAGTGGGAAGGTAACAGCGTTCCGTGCGCCTTGGTGTTTAGTCATGCCGGCCACATGACCACGGAAACGTCTTCGGACAGCGCTGGCTCTTCGGCTTTGAAACGGAGATGAGCACCGCAACCCTAGAGTCGGATTCGACTGGCTTTCGAGCAAGGGAACCTTTACCTTTACCTTTAAGTAAAACAGTACCACAGTATCGTAAAAAATATCACACGGCTGCTTCAAGAATGGAGAATGAATTTCCATGCTTTCTTCTCTGTTTTCCACATTTCTCAGTTCTTATACACAATGTCATACTCATCACAATCTTTTCATTGTTGCTGAATCAGCTTTCATGTTAGAGCTGATGTGATACTCATATTAATAGTAATATAATAATGATGAGATGATGAAAAGGAGGTGATGGTCTGAATACTTTAGCTTAAATAAATATTAATGCTGTTCAAAAATGTCTCATATTTCTCAGTGCTAACGGGTGATTTAATTGTGCAAGCCAACATTTACTTGAAGGTTTTTGATTGATCATTATATGATTAAAGCTTAGAAATCAAATATTTTTTATTAAGAAGCCCTTGTGTAGAACAAGGAACAAAGTACATTATAAGTACAACATATTAAATAGAATTTGTTGGTCTAGGAGGTTGAATTTTTATTTGCATATGGAATGAAGAGAATTCAAAGTAGTGAATGAATGCTTCATTAATGATTACCAAAAAGAATTTTTTAACAGGCAGTTTGAAACAGTGAACATCTCCCCCTAGCCACTGAACTTTGGATTAGGGAATTGCAATTTCCCCAAAGGAGTCCCTGTACCAGAATCCCTAGCCCTGTGATAGTGGTCTAAGAATGTCCTTACTCCCTTTCACAATCCAATTATTGCATCATGGTTCTCCTCAAACTTTCCTAATATACAGTTCAGTCAAAATTCTTGAGAGCAATTTTACAAGTCCCCAATGGGGTTCCAAATGCTCTTATTTGTATAGAGACAGTTATGGTAAAAGTTGAGGCAAAGCTATGAATTGTGGTGACAATGTTTTTGTTAAAGCTAGCTTTCCTACCCGAGGGATTGACAAGTCTAATTATGTTAGATCACTTTGAACCACCTTGGTTTAAGGTGCTAGAGAAGAAATTAGCCTCTTACGGCTTGTCTAAACAATATTTGTGCTCTATGGGTTACGAAAAGGCCACGTCTATGGCAAAACAGAGAATACTGGATATCTCAAAACAACACAATTTAAACATGGTAGGGAAATGGCAAGTACTCTTGGCTCCAGATAACAGAATAATCCCTATGCCCTACCTCTCCTGTTTACTAAATCAGGACTACAGAAGAGCATTTACACTAATGCGCTGGGATGTACTCCCATCTGTAGTCCTGGAAGGAAAATTTAATAAAATTCCTTATGAAGAAAGGATATGTCCCTGTTGTGCAGATGGTATTGAGTCTATAAAACACGTAATATTTGATTGTAAGGCATATAACAACATCCGCAAATCTCTTCCTTTCTCTAAGACACTTCCTCTTTCTTGTAGGCAAAGAATCTACCTTTTAAGAAGTTTTTTATCGGATAGGTGAGCAGAAGTTAATAATTGGGAGCCTAGGTTTGGATGGCTTGCCCTAGGAATTAGAAAAACTATATTAGCTCAAAAAGAGGAGAATTAATATTTAGTTTTATTAATTTTAATTAATATGGTTTTATGGAGTTTTTTCCCATTTTAAAAAACCTGCTTTTAAAATTCTGCTTCTATTTTAATGTGATATGTATCATTTATGTTGCAAGATATGCCATTGGTATACTATGTGCTGGTCAATGACCATGAATAAAACTTATACTATACTATACTATACTATACTATACTATACTATACTATACTATACTATACTATACTATACTATACTATACTATACTATACTATACTATACTATACTATACTATACTATACTATACTATACTATACTATACTATACTATACTATACTATACTATACTATACTATACTATACTATACTATACTATACTATACTATACTATACTATACTATACTATACTATACTATACTAATATAGTTTAAATGACCACCCAGGAGAACTTTTTAAGACAACAGACCCATCACACTATCAGCAATAACATGTTTTATCTCATTCACATGCAATATGGGATGAATATAAAACTCCTGCCATGGCCAATTTGACTCAAAGAGAAAAAAATCGTACTCAATTCTCCAGTATATTTATCTTGTATTGTGGGGAGGGTAGGTGGTCCAGAACAAAATCCAGAGGGAGCAGGCACCTTGGTTTTAAATACTGCAAATATTGTACTGTTGCCAGGCCAAAGGGTTGACAAGCATAACTGGTAACCAGTGGAAGAAGAGGAAGGCTGGAAGTTACAGACTCTAGTGTTTTTGGCAAGTGCTAGAACATTGCTCCTGATGCTATGATATGTCATTGCACTGGGGATGATGATCACATCCCCCCATCCCACCAGCCAGTTTCCTCCTGCCACACAGTTGATTGGTGACACGCAATCGAGTCAGGAGACAGGAAATCTCCCTCCATAAGCGAAGATATGGTAAGCCTGCCAGCCCCAACTCAGTGTCTTCTTTCAGGGTAATCTGTAAAGCTATCTTGACCAATGGTGTGGGGAGGATGAGGAACAGCACTTGCAGTACAGCTGTTTTCAATATTCTAACTTGAAATTATTTAGTTTGTAAAGCAGTGAATGCGTCCACATTTTAAATCTAAGTAGAAATGCAGTCACTTACTGGAAAAAATCTTGGCTGCAGGAAAAACTCTAGCCTTTGGCAAGAATAGATGTCTCTCATCTCATTGCTGACCATTCTTGTGTCTGAGTTTTGAGCAAAGAATATCATAAGAAAAAATAAAATATGGACTTGGATCCCAAGATGCTATTCCTTTGTTGCAACAGCAGCTCTTCTGATGTAACAGCTTTTTTGGGGTGGGGTGGGGAATCTCCCCTCATGCTGCAGACTCCCAGTTTGCTCCACCCCCAGGTTTCTATTAAGTCCAATGATTGACAGGAGGAAAATTTCCAGAGGCACAGAAGTCTTCAGTGAAAGATGGCAGATGGGAAGTTGCTTTTCTCTAGAGTGATTTTGCATAGGATTCAAACCATTCTTTTCTTTTTCCTGATTATGTTGCTAAAAAAACCATTGTATTGGTGTACATGTAAGATTTGAGAATATGCATGTATTTGTGCTCCTGTAGTTAAATTTTACAGTGTTTTTCCCCAGAAAAAGCAATCAGAGGAACACCAACAGGAAAAGTGTATTCTCATCCATGTCAGAATTAGAGATACACATGCCATTGACATATACATGCCCCCCAGCAGCATTTTGAATGTGGTGCTTAAAAGCTGATACTGATAAGTTCTGCCACAAACAGAGGATTTAAGGCTAAATTACTATGGCTTGTATCAGGAGTAGTGTTTGTTTAGGTGAAAGGATCTCCATATAGGAAATGAGACTTTATCTCCTCTCCCTCCTGCTGTAGCTCCAAATGCTGCTTCTGGGGGAAGAGGGAATTTGAGGCTGCAGCAGGAGGGAGAGGTGAAAAAGTTGTGTTCTTCAAGTGTAAATCCTTCCAACCATGAAAATGCTGCCCATATATTTTCTGTTGATGTTAGAAGCTGTGGCAGAACATCCCTGTTCTGGCTTGCAGGCCCTGTTCTGCCCTGCCCTCCTAGGTTTTTCTCAACTCCTGGAGAGGCTTTTCTTCCATGGTCAGGTAGCTCGCCATCACCACCTGACCATTGTATGGAATTGCCCACTGGGAGGGTCTGGACT